AAAAAAAACAGAGGGAACCATATTAGTCTAACAACCTACTGACAAATTATACATACAACTAGATCAAGAAATATATGTCTATGCAAGGTTTATCTGAGAACCTTTGGTCTTTGCCCAAGCTTTATCTACATGGCACATGGTAATTAAAAGTACCAGACTGGTGGAACTAACCTTCTTAGATGTTTAAGAGCCATACTTTGAGGCCTATACTAATTTGGTCAGAGGGACATAAAGGACACTTTTTGCTCCTTGCCTTCCTAGGTAGACTAAGTTCCAGGGGACTATAAGCATCTCTCAAAATGTGCTGTTACTGTGGTGAGTCACCTGTCCTCTTGATCAAGGAGGCCATGGTGACCCCACCAGATGGACTTGAACCAGTGTCCAGTCTATAAAGAGGAGGGTCAACAAAGAGGAAACATTTCCTCCATGCTTCCAAGCGAAGCCAGCCATGGTTGAGCAGGACCTTTGACTTATCTTCATATAGACGGAACTGGTAAAAGAAAGGAGCCAGGGGCTCCTCCCAAGCCCATGTGACCCCTGAGGAACAGATCCTCAAATGGCCTTAAGAGTAAAAATAGTATCTAATCCTTAAAAGATTTTAGGGTTACCTCTTCAGAGGGGGTAATGTTAGAGTAGCCAAAAGCCCCATAAAAATAAATAAATGAAAGAAGAAAAAAAAAGAAGAAGAAAGTGATGGGGAGATATGGTAGGTGTTGGAAGGGAGGGAGTGGGCATGGATTTGATCAAAACATCTTACATGCATTCATGAAATTCTCAATAAAGTTTTTGTAAAAATTAAAAAAAAAAAAGAGTAAAAATAAATTGGTTTATCTGGGCCAACTGCAGGGTCTTAAACACTCAAAAGGAAAATATAAACAAAGATTAATGGGGTCAATATAATTTTTTTAAGAGTCCATATGTATAGCTAAAGGCTACATAACAACAATGCCAGATAAGAGATAGCTTCCTTTGAGTTGTTGGTCAGGGTGACCCAAGAGAATCTCAGACAGTAACCCAGCATAGAACTGGGAAAATGAACAGCAGACCACCCCAATTTTATCTAAAGGAATATTGACAGCTGATTGCTGCTAGATGAAGAACAGCTGACCTTCCTAAAAGAAAGACCTCTAGATAGGCTGACTAGATTCAGCAGATGGATAAGCACTGGGGAATGGCTGGGGGCGCTGACAACACAGTGGACAGTAACAGGGATGAAAGAGTATATGGGCTCCAGTAGGAGAGGGAGGGGCAAGGCTATAGGAGGGTGCCATTTGGGAAGTGGGGATATAGATGAGTAAGAGTCTTTGGGATGTTCTGTATGATATACACACACCAAAAAAAAAAAAATCAACAAATAAAAAAATGAGTTATATTTGAAAAAAAAACACTCATAACACATAAAATATAAACAAACACAAGGAAACAAAAAGAATGAAACAATCAGGCTATACAATTCTCATTAATGAAAGCTGTTCTAAAAAGTACTGCTGGGCTGGAGAGATGGCTCAGCGGTTGACTGTGGTTAAGAGCACTGACTGCTCTTACAGAGGACCCGGGTTCAATTCCCAGCACCCACGTGGAGCCTATGAACTGTCCTTAACTCCAGTTCCAGGGGAATCCGAAGGCCTCTTCTGACCTCCGTGGCACTGCACGACACAGGTGCACTCACATACATGCAGGCAATACACTCATACACATAAAATAAAAATAATAGGTAAAATATTAAAAAAATAAAGTATTGCTGGCATTGTTAATAACTCTTGTACTACAATGAATAATCCAACCTTGAAACTGTTTTATAGCTGCTTGTCATTTACTGTCACCAAGGTCTGCCGTGTACCTCAGCCCCACCATTCCTTATTTTCATCCATCTGCTCTTCCCACTGCTGCCTGAAGGAGACCATCTACAAAGTCATTACAAGTTAGAAACTGGGCTGGAGAGACAGCGTGGCAGTTAAGAGCCTTGGCTGCTCTGGCACAGGACCTGGCATCTGTTTCTAGCACCCACACTGTGGCTCATAGAGGATCTGACCTGCTCTTCTGGCCTCTACAGGTAATTGAACTCTTGTGCACATACTCAGACACACACATACACATAATTAAAAATAAAATAATTAAATTAGAAACAGCACATGGGGAGAAGCTGGAGAGATGGCTCAGAGGTTAAGGGCACTGGCTGCTCTTGCAGAGAACTCAGGTTCAATTCCCAGCACCTACATGGTGGCTGACAACCATCCCTTACTCCAGTTCCAAAGGATCTGACAATGCCATCTTCTGACCTCTGTGGGCATGGGCGTACCTACCTACATGTAGGCAATACACATAAAATAAAAATAATATATAAAAAATTAAAAAAAAAAAAAAAAGAAACAGAACATGGGTCTCAGGAAGATGTGGGATTTTAAGACATCTATTTTCTGTGACATTCCATCCCTGGTTCCTTGGAGAGCACAGCCTCTCTCTTCTCACTGGTCTGTAATTTGTGGGCTGCTTAGGGCTATTTTTCAATTCTCCAATTAGGGCTTCAAAATGTCAGTTAGGACTGTATATAAATAAGCCTGACATCTTACTGCTTCTTGTATAGAGTCTAATCTTTCCCTTTTTTTTTTTTTTTTTTTTTTTTTTTTTTTTTAAGGAACTGCCCCCCTCCCCGGAGCCCCTCGAACTCACTATGGAGAACATGTTGGCCTCAAACTCACAGAGATCCGCCTGCCTCTGCCTTCCGAGTGCTCATGCCTGGGGAGTCTGATCTTTCTTAAATTTAAATTTATCCACTTAAAATAGATAGAAGAGCTGGGGATGTGGCTCAATGACAGAGCGCCTGCCCAGCATGTGCAAGGCCCTGGATGATGCTCAGCACCACAAAAAAAGAATGAGAAGAACAGAAAGAGGAGGAGCAAGAAGAGGAGCAGAAGGAAGAAGAGCAGGTGGAGGAAGAAGAGGAGGAGGAGCAGGAGGAGGAGGAAGAGCAAGGAGAAGGAAGGGGAGGAAGGAGGAGCAAGAGGAAGAGGAGCAGGAGGAGCTATGGAGCCTGAGGAGCTGTGGAGGGAGCTGGAGAGGCGGCAGCAGCCCAGCAAGCAGCTGGCCCCTCACTGTGTCATCTCGCAAGGCAGGGGCAGAGCACTTTTGTGCAGAAATACATATTAACATAAAGTGTTTCCTGCTTCACTTCATTAGAGTTTAGGCGAAACACCAATTTTCTGAATTATGCAAGGGATATATGATTTGCAAATTGAATTTAGCAGTGGTAAAAAGGACACTACACAATGCTAGCTGTGCTAGAAGGCACAGAGTCTGACGTTACTGAAAATCACTGGGATGGAAAAAAGAAATGTGAAGTTGAGACATGTGGAATTCATTCATTAATTCACAGGGCTGAGCACAGGTCACCAAAAGCAGATGGAACAAGTGCCAGGGGGAAACCTGTGGGAATGTCTGCACCTCTTAGAGAAAGGCAGAGGAACAGGAGTTAAAATAAAATTAGGCTGGACATATAGTGCTGCACACCTTTAACGCTAGCATTTGGGAGGCAGGCGGATCTCTGTGAGTTCTAGGCCAGCCTGGTCTACACAGTGAGTTCCAGGCTAATGTTCTCAGGTCCCTGACTCAAAAAAAAGAAAAAAAGACAAAGAAAAGATTAATTTCTTTGAGGCTGAGGATGTAGCTCAGCTGGTAGAGTGCTTGCCTAGCATGTGAGAAGCCCTGGGTTCCATCCCTAGCACTTGATAAACAGCATATAGTAGCCTCAACTATAATCCTAGCACTGGGGAGGTGGATGCAGGAGGATGAGGAGTTCAAGAGCATCCCCAGTTACACAGCAAGTTCAAGGTCAACCTGGGTTACCCCACCCTGTCTAAAAAGTAAATAAATAAATGGGCAGAGGTAGGCAAGATCATCACAAGTTTGAAGCTAGTCTGGGCTCTACAGAAAGATGAAGAGGGGGGAGGGAGAAGGGAAGGAAGGAGGAAAGGAATGAGGGAGCGAACAAGGAAGAGAGGGAAGGGAGAGGGGGTACAGGAGGGAGGGGGGAAAAGAGGGAGAAAAACAATTTAAAATATCAAGTTACCATGATCTAGCAACCACCTTGGGGGCATGTACACCACACAAAAACCTCTATGTGGAGGGGCATCCACAGCAGTGTTGCTCATAACATACAAAGCACACAAGCAACCACAGTGCCCATCAACTGGCCAAAGCACAGATAAGGCACACCATGCAATATTATCAGCCAAAATGGCACAACATACTGACTCATCATACCCCCAGACATACCACAAAAACATCATACCAAGAGAGAGATCAGAGGCACAAAGGGCCACATGCTGTACAATCCCAGTCATCTGGAAAGTAGTCAGTCATTTACAGTATAGAAGGACCACTGGGCAGAGCTGGAAGGAGATGCCAGAAAGGAGAGAGCTGACAGATGCAGCCCTTCTTTCTTTCAAAGGGGACAGAAACGTGCACTATACAACCCTATGGACACATTAAACACCACTAAACTGCAGACTTTAAATGAGTGACTTGCATTGTACATAAATTATATCTCAAAACAATTAAGAATACATGAGGAGCTGGCACGATGGTTCAGCTTGCCATGGATGCCTGAAGATGTGAGTTGGCTGCCTGGAATCCACTTGGTGGAAAGAGAGAATGGACTCCCATAAGTTGTTGACCACACATGCATGTGCACACACACACACAATAAATAAATGGAAAAAAGTAAATAAAAGTTGCATATACTAGAAATAATATTTGCATAAAAACCAACAAATAGGGCTGGAGAGGTGGCTGAGTGGTTGAGAGCACTTGTTGCTCTTACAGAGGATCCAAGTTGGTTTCCCATTACCCACATCAAGTGGCTCACATCTGTAATCCTAGCACTAGGGAATCCAACACCCTCTTCTGGTCTTTGTGGATATTGCACTCACACATGCACACATGCACAGACAGACACATACATATACATAGACATTTAAATTTTTTAAAGAAACAATAAATACCTTTGTCCACCTGCAGAGCTTCACACCAGAATGGCTGCCAATCAGCTGGTAACCTGCATGGGAAGGCAGAGGCCAGAGCTAAAACAACCCTAAGTCTAACATCAAAAGGTGACATTCGAATTTAGCACATTTGTTTTTCTTTGCTCACATTAATGGTATTTGGTGACACTGTTGGAAAAACTATCAAAGATTTAATTTTCTGGGATGAGAAAACTTTTTGGGGGAGGGGAGGGGTTGTTGTTACAGTTCAGCTTTGCTTTGTGACAGGATTTCCCTGCATAGCCCCAATCTTCCTTCCTCAGTCTCCCAAGTACCAGATCACCTGAATATGGTGAGAAACTATTTTAAAATATATAACTGCCAGGCATAGTGGCGCACACCTTTAATCCCAGCACTTGGGAGGCAGAGGCAGGCAGATCTCTATGAGTTCAAGGCCAGCCTGGTCTACATAGCAAGTTCCAGGCCAGCTGGGGCTACAGGGAGACCCTGTGTCAAAAAACAAAAAATAAATAAAAAATAAAAAATAAAATATATAACCACCTAGGCATGCAGCACATGCCTGTAATCCCAACACCTGCCAAGTAGAAGCAGAAGGATTAGGAATTCAGGGTCATCCTCAGCTATATAGAGTGCCTGATGCCAGCCTGGGCTACATAAGACCCTGTCTCAAAAAATAAAATAAATAAAATAAAATAAAATGTATACTCATGTAATAACAGGGACTCAAAGAAACAATAAACTAATTCAAAGTCACATGAGGAGGTTTTCAGCTCCCAGAGCTAAAAGGTCTTTAGAGGTCCAAAGTCAGTAAGGTTCAAAGATCTAAGCAATATACTAAACAAATCTGGGTGTTGTCATTTCCCTTCTATTACTGTAATAAAACACTCTGCCCAAAAGCAATTTAGGGGAGGAAAGGTTTATTTGGCTTATACCTCCAGGTCACAGTCCATCACTGAGGGAAGTCAGGGCAGAAACTAAAGCAGGAACCATGGAGGATGCTGCTTGTTGGCTCACATACAGGCTCATGCTCAGATAGCTTTCTTATACAGCCCAGGACCACCTGCCTCAGGATGGTGCTACCCACAGTTATCTGGGCCTGTCTACATCAATTAACAAACAAAACAATCCCCCCACAGACTTGTTCACAGGCCCATATGATCTAAGAAATCCCTCAATCAAGATTCTAGGCTGTGTCAAGTTGATAGTTAAAGATAACTAAGGCACTGGGAGAAAACACTGTACTCACGAGCTAGAGATACACATTCTCTCTCTCTCCTCTCTCTCTCTGACACACACACACACACACACACACACACACACAAAATGGGTGTATATTCATGTACAGAGTGTTGCATTTCATAGACATTTTTATGTACGTATATCCATATTCAGCCCCCCAGTCACAGTCATTTCTCCCAGTTTGACTTCTACTCTGATGTCTCATATATACATATAAATACATGCATACAAATATATATATATATATATACATATACACATGAGCATACATATATGACCTGTATATCTATATAAAATATGGGACACACAAATGAGAGAAAATGGGCTGTCTTTCTGGGTCTGGCTTATTTCATTTAATACAATGCTCTCCAGTCCTATCTATTCCTCTGCAAACCTAATTTTTTTTTATGGTTCAATAAAACTCCATTATGTATATCGACCGTGTTATCTCTATCCTTTCATCAGCCATTTGGCACCTAATCTGGCCCCACATCTTGGCTATTACGAACAGGACTGCAGTAAACACAGTTGGGCAGGTCTTTGTGGTATCCTGACTTAAGAGGTCTTCAGGATGGAACAGTTAGATGGCTCAGCAGGTAAAAGTACTTCCTACCAAGCCTGAGGTCTTGAGTTCAAATCCCCAGGACCCAAATGGTGGAAGAAAACCGACTTCTGCAAGTTGTTCTCTGACTTCCAAACACATGCTATCACACGCTCATGTCCACATACACACAATAAGCAAATGTAATTAAAGAAAAAAGAGGCTGTGCTTGGTGGTGCTTGCCTTTAATCCCAAGCACTCAGGAGGCAGAGGCAGGCAGATCTCTGCAATTGAGGCCAGTCTGGTCTACATAGTTGATTTCTAGGTCAACTGGGGCTTCAGGGAGACCCTGTCTCAAAAAGACAAAAAATAAAAAGAATCCTTTGGGTAAATACCCAGGAGTGGTCCAGTTGTACCACTGACAGCTCTGTGTTTAGTTTTCTGAGGAACCTCAGCTGAGTTCCACCACAGTGGCTGTACTAGTTTACAATCCTGACAGCTGTGCAGAAGGGTTCCCTAGCCCTCACATCCTTGCCAGCCTTTGCTGTTTGTTTTCTTAATGAATGCCATTCTGGCAGGGGTGAGGTGGACTATCAATGCAGTTTTAATTTGCATTTTCCTGATGGCTAAGGACGTTGACCTCTTACATATTTCCTGGCTATCTGTCCTTCAATTGTTTGAACTATCCATTCATTTCATTTGTTCATTTATTGATCGCGTTATTTAGTATGTAGTTTTTAAATTTATTTTATGTGTATGAATGTTTTTCCCTAAATGTTTGTAAATGCACAATGTGTATGCAATGCCTGCAGAGGCCCAAAGAGAGCATTGGAGCCCCTGGAACTAGAGTTAGGAATAGCTGTTAGTCGCCATATGGGTGATGGGAACCAAACCCAGGCCCTCTATAAGAACAGCCAGTGCTCTTATCCACTGAGCCATCTCTCCAGCCCCAGTATATAGTTTTTTAAATTCCTTCTCTTGAATGACCTGGACGATAACTACAAAAATGGAGCATAAGGCAAATGTAACAATATATTTCAAACTGACGACCAGAGAACTACCATCAGTCATAGTTAAAGAAAGAAAAGGAAGGAAGAATCAGAATGCCAGAAGGAGATTAAATAAAGAAGTGCTGCCCCAAGGGGGAAGAAGAGGGACTGACTTCTACGAACTTCTACCTCAGGGAGAGGACCAGCAAGATGGCTCAGTGGTGAAAGTCGCTTGCAGCTAAACCTGACCACCTGAGTTCCATCCTGGGACCTACTTGGTAGAAGAAGAGAACCAGCTCCCAAAAGTAGTTGTCCTCTGACGACCACACAGGCTGTGGTACAAACATACATAAGCACACAAAATAAATAAAATGTCTAAAAAAATGGGGGCTGCAGAGATGGCTTAGCAGCTAAGAGCACTAGTTGCTCTTGCAGAGGACCCAGAATCAATTTCTAGCACCCATATAGCAGCTAACAACCATCGGTAACTCTAGTTCCAGAGGATCCAATGCCCTCTTCTGACCTCCTCAGGCACTGTACAACAGGGGTGCACTTACATATAAACAAGTAATATGGTCATACAAATAAAATTAAAATTATAAATAAAAATGTTTTTTGAAAAATCACAGAGCTGGAGAGACTATTCAGTGGTTAAGAGCACTGGCTGCTCTTGTAGAGGATCCAGATTCAGTTCCCAGCATCTACATGGCAGCTAACAACAATCAATAACTCCATTTCCCAGGGATCAACACCCTCTTCTGGCCTTTTTGGGCATTGTATGCATGTGATGCACTTACATATATGCAGGCAAAACATTCAAACACATAAAATAAAAAATAGTATATTTTTAAAACAAAAAATAAGTAGGAAAATTACACATAAACGCTGGTCTGTGTCCTGTGAGACTGAACCACATCCTGCTGTCTCATAAAAGACCTTCATAAAGATGGGGGAGAAGGAGAAGGAAAGCCTGTCTGCCGATGCCCCACTCACAGCTCTTTCTGATACAGAAAACTAGTCTTGCTCATTCCCTTCATAAGGAACGACTCAGAAGTCAGAATGCAATGCACATTAGTTCTGCCTCCTGGCATAAAGCCTGGGGTTTCATCCCAGCCCCACAAAACCAGGTGCAGTGAAGCAGGCCTGTGACACCAATACTGGGAGGTGGAGGCAGAAGTATCAAGAGTTCTAGGTCATCCTCAACTTCATAGTGAGTTTAAGGCCAGCCTCAAACCCTAAAGAAATTTATGAGATGGGAAAGAAAGAGAAAGAAAGAGTAAGAGGGGAGAGAGAGGGAGGATGGAGGGGGAAAGGAAAGCGGGGAAGAGAGAAAGGAAGGGAGGTAGATGGATAGAGGCAGAGAAGGCAGGAGGGGGGAGAGAAGAGAACAAAAGGGAGAGAGGGAAAGGAAGGGAGGGAGGGAAAGGTATCCTCAGGCAGCTGTCTATGATGGTGACAATCACTCTTGGATGTCACCATAACTGGACTGGAAGGTACCTAGGTGTGTCTACCTCAGTATGCCTGTGAGGGCTCTGAGGAAATGAAGTCTCCTCTGATGGATTCAAGAGTTGAATCGCATCTAGGAGGTGGTGGGGCTGTGGAAGATGGGCTGGCTGGAGGCAGAGGGGGGAGGCACCACTCTCTCCTTCCTATAGGCCCTCATCTGAGCAACTCAACTCTTCTTCCTGACCGAACTGTTTCTACTTTACATTGCTGCTGCTGTGAGGCTTCACCTCAGTCCAGGCCCAGAAGCACAGGGCCAAGTGACCCTGGAGCACTCTGAAGCTTGAGCCAAATACACGTTTCCTCCCTCAAGTTGCTTTGCTCAGGTATCTGGTCCTGGAGGCCTAAGTCCTATGAGGCTCTGACACACTATAACCCAGCGACTGCACAAACTGGCCCTGGGCAAGCCTGTCTCAGGCCTCCAGTCCTAGGCATCAGATTAAAGTGCACCAGGGCACAGCAATGTTGCACAGGTGGTCACCTTGCTTGGTCAGGGCTTCACGGAGCGCAGGGGTGATCATGGCTCTCTCCTCCTTGTCTTCAACGTGCTCTGTTTTATCTTCTGGTTGCTGTTTTTCTCTCTGTGTTAATTCAAGAAAATAAAATCCAGAAGTGGTAGTATATAAGGAAAATACCATGGCAACAACTGAAAACATGGATCAACAGTGAACCAAGGCTGAACCCAGCACCCCACAAGTGGTCATGCTTCCAGAGGACCATGATCCAAAGGCCCACCAGGGCCAATAAATAAATAAACAAGGGAAATAAAACAAAAGGACCGTGAGAACATGCAGACTCACAAAACCTAAATCAACAGCTCCCCTGTCTAAAGATAATTTTTGTTACATTTTATTTTAGTTTGCATGTGTATATACATGTACATGTATATGCATGTACACATGCCACAGTTATATATAGAGGTCGCTGGACAACTTACATGACCTAGAGATCAAATTCTGGTCATCGGACTTGGCAGCAAGCACCTTTACTCACTGAGTCATCTTATTGGTCTAAAGACTAAATGTTTAAACACTTTGAACACAGAGAAACTGCCTAACTGTCAAATAATTGATTTTTTGTGAAATTCAATTTCCTCATCTTAAAGAAAGGGAGATTTTTTCAATAAATTACAATTCCTAACCAGTGTGATGGTACACACCTGCAATCCCATCACTGGGGAAATTAAAGCAGGTGGGTCAAGAGTTCAAGGCCAGAGACTGGAGAGATGGCTTAGCAGCGAAGAGCACCAGCTGCCCTTGCAGAGGATCTGGTTTTGGTTTCCAGCACCCACATGGCAACTAACAATCAACCATCTAGTTACGGATCCAGGGGATCGTCTTCTGGCCTCCACAGGCATTGTATACATGGGTGCACTCACTAATATACAGGCAAAACACCATATACATAAAATAAAAATAAATCTATAAAAGAATCTATTTCAGAACTCAGAGCAAAAGGAAGCCTGTGGTGGAAGAAATGAACACACCTCCACCTTGGGAGCTGACATGTCTGTGGACAGGCTCCACAGCAGGTTCCAGGGATTCCTCTATCAATCATGCAAAAACTGACAGCAGGTGGCAGTGTCAGGGCAGTGTCAGCCCAAGGGCATCTGTCACCACAAAGTCTCTGGGGCTCCTCTGCTAGCCCCCAAGCTCACGTAAATCCAGACCTGGCCCTAGCCTGTGAGGCTAGCCAGAGCCAAACAAACACCCTCTTATTTTAAACCAAACCTTTGGATGAAGCTCATGCCTTTAATCTTAGTACTCGGAAAGCAGAGACTGGTAGATCTCTGTGAGTTCAAGGCCAGCCTGATCTACATAGTGCGTTCAAGGACAGCTGAGGTTACAGGGAGACCCTCTCTCAACAAAACAAAACAAAACAAAAAAACAAGCTAAAAAATTTGGGGCACCACACCTGGCTGTGCAACACCATGGAGCCCTGTCACTAAACCAATCATCCTCTGTCGTGAAATAGTGTGGTTTTTCCAGATTCAATCACAGAGGCCTGATGAAAGGGGCTGAGGGCTCAGGATGCTGTCAATCTCTCCTCCTCTGGCATGCTGCCCGTCTTATCTCCCTGTGTAGTGCTGACTTCTTAACAGAAGTAAGGAGGTATATAGGACACTCAACTCTGATCTCCCTGGTGCCAGCGCAGGCACTTGGGCTCTATCCAAACTACAATCATACGACAACCAAGAAAGGTCCTTAATTTAATGTATTTATTTATAGCTGGTGAATGTCCTACACAGAAGTAAAGTCTGCTGAATCAGGGCTGGAGATTCTCAGTGAATAAGAGGGCTTGATTCTCCTGCAGAAGACCTGACTTTAATTCCCAGAACTCATGTGAGATAGCTCACAGGCACCTGTAACTCCAGTTTAGTGGATCTGATAGTGTCTTCTGCCCTCCAAGGGCACTGCACACATGTGGCATCCACACACAAACACAAATATACACATTTTTAAAAGGGAGATGGCGGGTCTGGAGAGATGGTTCAGTGGTTGACAGTGGGTACTGCTCTTGCAGAGTACCCAGTTCAGTTCCCACCACCCATAACAGGTGCCTCACAACCCTCTATAACTCTAGCTCCAGGAGGATACAATGCCTCTGGCTTATTCAGTCACTGCAATCACTAGTACATACCCCCACAAAGACACACACATAATTAGAAATAATAAACTTTTAATCCCAGCACTCAAGAGGCAGAAGCGGGAGGACCTCTGTGAGTTCCAGGCCAGCCAGGGATACACAGCAAGACCCTATCTCTAAAAACACTTCTTTAAATAATAAAAATAAATCTTAAAGAAAGACTCCAGAGCCAGGTGTGGTAGTGCACACCTTTGATCCCAGTGCAAGAGAGGCAGAGGTAGGTGGATTTCTGTGAGTTCAAGGCCAGCCTGGTCTACATAGCAAGTGCCAGCCCAGCTGGGCTACAGGGAGACCCTGTCTCAAAAAGACCAAAAAAAAAAAGACTCCAGAATCCCTAGGCCTTGACTCCTCTCTCTCCTGACCACCCCACTGTAAAGGAGTGAGTTCTACAGCTTCACCCCCCAAAAAATGGTTCTCTCCAGACATAAAGAACTGGCAACCAGGTATGGTGGTGCATGCCTGTAATCCTACCACTCCAGAGGTGGAGGAAGGGGGATCAGAAGTTCAAGGTCATCCGTGGCTACATAACAAGCTTAAGGCCAACCTAGGACATATCCAACCCTATCTCAAAAAATTAAAACAAACAACAACAAAAAGACCAAAACAAGGAGAGAGGTAGAGGATGTAACACAATGACACAGCACAGCCTACCATACACGATGTCCCTCAGGATTCAGTCCCCAGGACAACAGTAAATTAGGTACAGGTACACACACACACACACACACACACACACACACACACACGATTGTATGCATATATGTTTATGTGCATACATTTAATACATACACACATATAAGATAAAGATAACTGATGACGTCTTTTCAGGTTTACTGAAAAAGAGAGGGACACATACGGTCCCCTCCATCTGATGGTTTTCATGTGAGATTTTTATAAGAAAGCTAAAATTTCATAAGCTGGCATCTTAAAGCTCATGAAGTCCAAAGCCATTTCATTTCAAAAAATGACATGGATCATAAGATTTTTCATTAGTGCGTTCTCTGGTGACCTCTACTGGCCACAGGATGAAAAAGCAATGAAAAATGTGTCAATCACCAAACTTCTTTAAGGCTTAGCTAGCCTCAGGTGGAGATTCTAGTATTCTAGCTAAATCAGCTACTTAACACACCATTTTAACAGTTTCACTAATGAAAATTACATCTTTAATTAAAAGTCAAAAATTACAATTACTGTGACCCAGTTTGATCAATTACAAAAAAGTATAACCTAAAAGAACTCATGTTTGTTAAAAAATTAAAAGGCTGAGATTGTGGCCCAGTGGGCAGAGCGCTTGCCTAGCATCCAGGAAGCCTGGGTTCCCCTGCCCCCGAGCATTGCATAAACCAGGTATCATGATGCACACCTGAAATCCCAACACTCAGGATCCCAACACTCAGGAAGTGGAAACAGGAGGATCAGGAACTCGAGGTCATCTTCAGCTACATAGCTAGTTCTAGGTCAGCCTGGACTACAGGAAACCCTGTCTTTAAAAAAAAAAAAAAATGGAGCTACATAAGGATGTAGCTCAGTGGTAGAGTGCTTGCCTAGTACGTGGAAGGCCCTCCATTCCATTCCCAGAACTCTGTAAATCAAGCATGGAGGTACATCAGGAGTTCAAGGTCATCCTCAGATACATAGGGCGTTTGAGGCCAGCCTGTGCTACATGAGATGCTGTCTCAAAACAACAAAAACAAAAACAAAAGCCAAGTGGATCTTTGTGAGTTCAGGACCAGTCAAGGATAGGATATATACTGAGACCCTATCTTTAAAAAAAAAAAAGAGGGGGGAGGGCTAGAGAGATGGCTCAGCAGTTAAGAACACTGGTTGTTCTTACAAAAGACCTGGGTTCAAATCCCAGCACCCACATGGCAGCTAACAACTGTCCATAACTCCAGTCCCAGGGGATCCAACAGCCTCCTCTGACCTCTGTGGGCATTGCACAACACAGGTGCACTTACCTACATGTAGGCAATACACACATACACATAAAATAAAAGAAAAAATAAAATATTTTTAAAAATTAAAAAAAAGGGAAAGTGAAAGAAACCACAAAATAGAAGAAACATCTTCACCAGACAGAGTTACCGTTACCATACCTATATGTTTCTTTCCCTCTCTTGAGGTCTACTTTGGTACCTTAGCGGAATACATTGTTTTCAATACAGTTTAGAGAATTTCTTTTTTAAAAACATTTTATTTTAAATTATGTGTGTGAATGTCTGTGTATGTATGTGCACTTGAGTCAGTGTCCACGGAGGTCAGAAGAGAGATTTCAGATCCCCTGGAAATGGAGTTACAGACAGCTGTCATGTGGGTGCTGGGAATCAAACCCAGGTCCTCTGCAAAAGCAGCCACTGCTCTTAGCTGCAGCCCCTGACATTTCTTTTCAAGTCATCTCTACCACAGTTGTATGAGGCCATGTTGCCTGCTGCAGTCTCACTCTAGCTATTTATTTGGAAACATAAAGGTCACAGAGTATTCCTATGGCTAAACATGGCTACTTATTGAATTCATTCATGTGAATGTATAGTTTTTAATCACTGATTTTCTCATATTTTCCAAATTTCCCTTTTTTTGTCCCAAGGCTTATGGGCTGTACATATTTTTAGTTTAGAGCATCTGTTTTTCCCAAGCATTATACTTACACTGAACTACTATGACAGATATAGCCTTAGCCCATTTTGGTTTGGGTTTTCTTTTTTTTTTTTTTTTTTTTTTTTTTGAGACAGGGCCTACCTGTAGCTCCAGCTGGCCTGGAACTTGCTAAGTTAAGGACAGTTGCTAGCCGCCATGTGGGTGCTGGGATCCAAATCTGGGTCCTCTGCATGAGCAACCAGTGCTTGTAACCACTAAGCCATCTCTCCAGCTCCTCTGCTTGAAATCTTAATGGTAAATAGTCCTCCACAATGGTCATCCTCCACATCCCTGAATGCTGTGCCTGTAGCCACCTACCCAGTCCACAGTCCCTGTCCTAAGATCTGCTGATCCTGCAAGGAGCCTGTTTTCACAGTACTGAGTGAGAAGAACGTAGTAAAGTTCAAGTAAAGGCAGGCAAGACAGCTCAATGAGCAAAGGCACTTCACGCCACGTGATGATTCCTGGGACCTAACACTGGAAGGAGCAAACCTACTCCTGTGAGTTGTCTTCTGACCTCCACACATGCCATGGAATGCAGACATTCACATGCTTGCCTACATTAATATACACACAAATAAATGTCATTTTTTAAATGTTCGAACTTTATGTAAATATTGTAAAAATAAAAAATCAGAAAACCTTCTAGACAGGAGACAGAAATTAAACCACCTTCTTGGGCAGTCAGGGTATACTGCAACAGAATCTAAGAGGTGAACCAATGACAGGATCCAACTGTGGCATTTCTCCAACACAGAGGTACCTTTTCCTTCTTCATGTGGTTCATGATGGTGCCCAGATCCTCAACATCAACCACAGCATTCAGGCTCTGGAGGTCATGGAACCCAGTCTCCTCCTCCTCACTGCTCTCGAAGGGCTCCTCCTCCTGAAAGGCAAACACTTCAGAGAGATAGCTTTCAAAGGTACACAGTTAATTCCTCTTTCTCCTCCATCCAGAGATCCATGCTATGGTTTGTGATGCTGAGGATGGATCCCAGGGCCTCTCATACGCCAGATAGATGCTCTACCACTAAATACACCCCAACAAACTTTACAGTTTTTGTGTGATTTTTGTTTGTTTTGTTTTTTGTTTTTTCATTTGTGTGTGTGTGTGTGTGTGTGTGTGTGTGTGTGTGTACATACCTGACATAGAGCATGTGTGGAAGTCAGAAGATAACTCTGTGGAATTGGTTCTCTCCTTCTAACATGTGGGTCCAGGACTGAACTCAGGTCTTGAGGCTTGGTGGCAAGCGCCTTTACCTGCTAAGCAACCTTGACAACCCCAGCTTTACAGGTTTGTTTTGTTTTGTTTCTTTGCTTGCTTGCTTGGTTAGTAGGGGTTTTTTGAGACAGGATCTCCTTGTAGCCCTAGCTAGCCTGGAACTCACTATGTAGACCAGGCTGGCCTAGGACTCACAGAGATCCACCTGCCTCCAGAGTGCTGGACTAAAGGTGTATGCCACCACACCTAGCAGGCTCTACCAATCTTTTTGTTTTTGTCTTTTGGGGGTTTTTTGGTCTTTTTGAGACAGGGTCTCCATGTAGCCCCAGCTGTCCTGGGACTCACTATGTAGACCAGGCTGGCCTCTAACTCACAGAGATCCACCTGCCTCTGCCTCCTGAGTGCTGGGATTAAAGGCGTGCACCACCACGCCCGGCTGTTTTGGTTTTTTTTAAAGTATATAAGCGCACTGCCTACATCTGTGTAAGTGTACCCATGTTGTGCAATACCACAGATGTCAGAAGAGGGCATCGAATCCCCTAGAACTGGAGTTACAGATGGTTGTTAGCTATCATGTAGGTGCTGGGAACCAAACCCAGGTCTTCTGCAAGGACAGCCAGTGCTCTTAACCACTGAACCATCTCTCCAGCCCCAGGCTGCTACAACAACATGGCTGTGCTCCCCAAACCTTTATTTAAACAGAAAGTAGAGGGGCTGGAGAGATGGCTTAACGGATAAGAAAGCCTGCTGCTCTTGCAGAAGACCTGGGTTCAGTTGAACACCCACAAGGAATCTCACAACAGTCAATAACTCTAACTCCAAAGAATCTAATGCCTTCTTCTGGTCTCTGCGGGTGCTGCGTATGTGTGGTACACATAAATATATGTAGGCAAAACACTCTTACACACAAAATAAAAATAAACAAATCTTTTAAAAAGATAGAGTTGGGGATGTAGCTCAGTTGACACAGTACTTGCCTAGGGAGAAGCAGGAGGATCAGGAGTTCAAGGTCAGCCCCGGCTACACCTCCAGTTCAAAGCCAGCCTAGGTTATAGGAAAACTTTTCTCAAAATTAATTAAGTTTGAAATTTGCAGCAGGTGACCTTTGGCTGGGCGACACCCTGCTCGCCATCTTGGACTTTCCTCTGCAACTGCTACTCAGAATCCTATCTTTCCAGCAGAAGAATTTACTGCCTCTCAAAGGACCCCACTTCATGTGGATAAAGGCTAATCAAAAGTGCTGTTAAATTGGCTCTGTGACCTATGCAACATTTAAAACCTGTCTTCAAGAAACACTAAATGAATTCATGGATGCCGCTAGGGCTAGAAGCTTAGTGCGGCACATCTCTTCCTCCCCAGAGGGCTCCAGCGCAGTCACAGTAGAAGAGGGACACAGGCACTGGAGCGTGCGCATGCTGTAACCAATGGGTTCAGGGGCATGAAAAGCAGCCAGGCAGCTTGGCTCAGAACCCACAGGAAGCTGCCTCCCTCACAGCACAACTGACCAAACTGAAAGGGAAAGTGAAGCTATGAGGAGGATGGGGAAACTGACTCAGGCAAGTGGTGGGATACAGCAATGACAAGCAACTAAGGAATCACCACCAGCAGATTCTGAAGCAAAACAGAGCATGGGAGGAAAACATGGGCAGATCACATACCATCTACTTCTGTGTCCTGGAAGGAGAAGGGCAGAGGCCTCTAAAGTGGTCTGAAGAGGCTAGTGAGATGGCTTGTGGGTAAAGTCCTTGCTGTACAAGCATGAGGACCAGAGTTTAGATCTCCAGAAGCCACATAAATGGGTGAGCATAGTAGCAACCCATCTGTAATCCCAGCCTCAGAAGGCAGAGAAAGAGTCCAAGAGCAAGCTGGCTAGGAGGACTAGTCATATCAGTGAGCTCTGGGTTTGACTGAGAGTCCCTGCCTCAATGGATAAGGTGGAAGAGCAATCAAGGATGATACTCAATAACAACCTTAGGCCTCTACAGGCACACACATGTAACCATACACATGCAAAAACATGTACATACTCACACCACACACACACACAGGAAAATGGAAAAATTAAAAGAAATTAAAATTTAAAAAATACGGCCTAAAATGAGAGCAATCCAGGCTGAATCTTGGTAACTAACTCTACTGGGAACATAAGATAATGGGAACAGACTGTAGCCAGGAGTAACTGAGAAGTGTGGTATGCTAGGGAAGAAAGATGCTGATCTGACCCAAGTACCAGGAGAGCAGATACCTGAGCGATCAAACTCACCTATTACTCGGTAACTGTTCTCAGCACCAGGGACACCAGTGTGGCTTGACTTTGGTGAGGAATAGAAAGAAGATCGGGGGAAATTCAAGAACAATCAGGAGCTGAGGACAGGCAAAGGAGGACTGGGAAACTACACAAGGGTTATGATTCTTCTTAAAATTATACTTGGGGGCTGGAGAGATGGCTCAGTGGTTAAGAGCACTGACTGCTCTTGTAGAGGACCTGTTTGATTCCCAGCACCCACATGGTGGCTACAAATCGTCCTTAACTCTAGATGCAGGGAAATCCGAAACTCTCATCTGACCTCTGTGGCATTGCATGGCATGGGTGCACTCACATACATGCAGGCAATACACTCATACACATAAAATAAAAAAATTTTTTTTAATTATTCTTGGAGTCAAGTGTAGTGGTGCACACCTTTAGTCCTAGGCAGAGGCAGGTGGGTCTATGTGAGTTCCATTCCAGCCTAGTCTACATAGGAGTTCCAGGCCACACAGGGATATAGAGTAAGACTCTGTCTCAGAAACAAACAACAATAACAGTAATAACAAAAGATTATCCTTGGGGCTGAAGAGAGGGCTACGTGGTTAAGAACACTTGCTGCTGTTGCAGAAGACCACAGTTCAGTTCCTAGCACCCAAGTCAGGCATCTCACAACTGCCTATAACTCCAGTTGCAGAGCCCATTCCCTTTTCTAGGCTCCATGAACACTGCACTTGTACATATACCCACAACCACACAAACACACACATAAAATTTAAAAACAAAAATAAATCTTAAAAAAAATTACCCTTGCCAGGTGTGGTGACATACCCTTGCAACCTCAGCACTCAGGAACAAGATCAAAGTATGAGGCCAGCCTGGACTAGAGATATCCAGTTTCAACCAGTTAGGGTATATAATAAGACCCTGTCTCAAACAAACAAAACCAAACAAACAAGCCAGACCTGGTAGCATAGGCCTATAATCTCAGTAATCTCCATTATTCAAAAAGCTGAGGCAGGAAGATTCCAAGATCAAGCTAGCCTGAGCTACAACAAATCCAGGGAGTCCAGGGTTAGCCTGTCTCAAATTAAAATAAAGGGGGATGGGGAGAAAGAAGGAGAATCGGAGTTCAAGGTCATCTTCAGTTACACAGCCAGTTCAAGGCCAACTATGTAAGGCTCTGCCTCAAACAAACAACAAAAAGGTGGGCTGGAGATGCAGCTCACTGGTAAAGCATGTTTGTAATCTCAATTTAATCCCAAGTATCACAGACACCCATCCAAAAAAACTGACCTGACCAGAAGTGTGGTGCACACCTCTATCCCAGCATTTGCAAGGCTGAGACAAGGAGATTCTATTTGAAGAAGCCTCATCTACAGAGAGAGATTCTGTACTAAAACAACAAAACCTACACTGCCTTCAAGAGGGAAATGAAGCAAGCAGCTCCCCAATCCAAGGAAAACATTATGAGAATAAATTGGATCGAAATAAATATTAGGGGGGCTGGAGAGATGGCTCAATGGTTAAAAGCACTGGCTGCTCTTGCAGAGGACCTAGGTTCAGTTCCCAGCATCCACATGGCAGCTAACAACCATCCATAACTCCAGTTCCAGGGGATCCAATACCCTCTTCAGATCTCCAAGGGCACTGTACAACACAGGTGCACTTCCAGGTATGTAGGCAATAAACTCATACATATAAAATAAAAAAGAATATTAGGGCTGGGGATGTGGCTCATTGGGAAAGCATCTGCCAAGCATCCCCCAATGAGGGGCTGGGGCATGGCTAAGTGGTAGAGCACCTGCCTAGAATCCCCCAATGAGGGGCTGGGGGTGTGGCTAAGTGGTAGAGCACCTGCCTAGAATCCCCCAGTGAGGGGCTGGGGTGTGGCTCAGTGGTAGAGCACCTGCCTAGAATCCCCCAATGAGGGGGTGGGGGGTGTGGCTAAGTGGTAGAGCACCTGCCTAGAATCCCCCAGTGAGGGGCTGGGGTATGGCTAAGTGGTAGAGTACCTACCTAGAACTCCCAATGAGGGGCTGGGGTGTGGCTGTGTAGAGCACCTGCCTAGAATTCCCCAGTGACAAAAGTGTTGCTAGAGGTGTCAGGGCCTAAAAACTATCAGGCTAGGGAGACAGATTCATATCCACCTGGAGTTTTTAGTCTTGAGCCAAATGATGGAAACAAAGGTGGCCTGACAGTGGGCAGCACTCAAAGCTGCTCCGGAACAGTGACCGGGCAGCCAGAATATCCTAGCTGTGAAGATGCTGCCACTGTGAACCTGAAGACATTTCTAAGGAACTGCATGTCTGAAGATATTTAGAGGGCAATGGAGAAGAGAGGCAAACCCAGGATGACCTGCAGCTGCACCTGGAGTGACTCAATCATGTGGGACAGGAAGGATGGGACCTGAGGGATAACAAGGTGCCTTCAGAATGGGACATATTTCACATCTCTGGACCTCTGTTTCTTAACCTGCAGAAAATGGTAAAACTTAAGCAATGGCGTGATCAAAGAAGAAACAAGAATGAGTGTGGTGGTGCCTAGCTGCAACCCCAGCAATCAGGAAACCGAGGCAAGAGGAGCCTTGCTTCAAAGGAGTTCCAGGCCAGCTTGGGCTACATAGCAAGATCCGGTGAAACAAAGGGGAAGGGAGAAGAGGGAGAGAAGGAAGAGAAAGGAGGAGGAAGAGGGATGTGCAGGAAGAGAAGGAGCAGGAGAAAAGGAGGGCCACATCTAGCACAACAGGCCCTAACTCCTAAGATGCACTTTCTCTGAAACAGCAGCACCTGAGTTTCAGACTTTCTAACCACAAGCTAATGCAACAGCTTCTCAGAGCAGATATAAAGCCAGGTATCTACACAGACGCACACGCACGTGCACGTATACACACACACACACATGCATTCACACACACAAACACACAGATGTGCACTGAGAAAGGAGTCGGGCACACAAACCTTTGGATGTGACTGGCCTTGCTCCTGAGGCTCAGGCTTTGCCTCCCCAGGGCCATGCTGTATGGACCCACACTTTCCTCTCTTGCACTCCCCGCTACAGGTCTTCTTCTCTCCTTGGAGCAGAGCCTGCAGCCGGGAAAGGAACTTGGACTTCCAGGCTTCAAAGTCAGCCTCAATGCTGCCATGTTTGCTCTGAACCGCATTGCGGTCACCCTGCCCTCGAGTCAGCATCCGGCAAGCACCAAGCATCCAGAGCCACTTGTCAACATTGGTGCCAACCTGCAGGAGAGATAGATATGCTGAAAAACAAACAAATAAAACTATCTGATCCTCTAAACCAGGATTTCAGACTGTGCTGCAGAAACTCAATGACCTGGGACCCAGCCAGCAGCTTCTGCTGAAGGAGATGGCACAACTCAGTATAACAGTCTTCAAGCTACAAGCCAGGCCTGCTACCACAGGCCTGTCATCCCCACTACTCAGGATGAGGCAGGAGAATCTCAGGTGCAAGGCTTCCCTGGGCTCCAATATAAGTTCAAGGTCAACCTGAGCAACAAAGTGAAACTCTGTCTCAAAGTAAAAAAAGAGGCTAGGGGGCTGGAGAGATGGCTCAGTAATTAAGAGCACTAGCTGTTCTTTCAGAGGACCTGGGTTCAATTCCCAACACCCATATCGCAGCTAACAACTGCACAAACCTCAAGTTCCAGGGGATCCGACAACCTCTTCTGACCTCTGTGGGCATCACACAACATGTGTGCACTTACATACATCCAGGCAATACACTCATATACATAAAATAAAAGCCAGGGATACACCTCAATAACACAATGCCTAGAATCCCCCCAGTGAGAAACTGGAACATGGCTCAGTGGTAGAGCACCTGCCCAGAATCCCCCAGTGAAGGGCTGGCATTTGGCTCAAGGATAGGACCCTTGTCCACCATGCATAGGCCTTAGGTTCTACCCTCAACATCACAAAGGAAAAATATTAACACAAGAATTTATTATTACTAAGCAGCAAATTTATAGGTCAATTCTCCCACACATAACACATGTGAGGCCTTGTTTACATGTTTATCTTTTAGTTAGCGAATCTAGTTCTATAACTTAGCACACACCTACCTTGTTGAAGTGGCTCTGGTAGGCAGAATCACCCAGGCCAAACACAGCGTATCTCAGTCCCTTCAGGTAAGTTTTGCCAAACCGGAAATCATTTGCTGCTTCCTCCAACCACTTGCAGAACCATTCCGCACTCTCGGTGGGGCAGCCGTCCGTATATGTAGCGACCAGGAAGACACAGACAGTTTTACTAGTGATCTAAATTAAAACAAAAAAACAAACAAACAAAAAAAAAACGTTATCAGTGGAATTGAGCATGGTGGTGCACCAGCACTCTCAGGAGATAGGTAAAAAGAGAACTGTCTGGGTTCAAGACCAGGCAGGGCTACAGAACAAGATCTTGTCTCAAAAAAAATAAATAAATAACAGTTGGGCTGGGCATGGTGGCGGTGGCACATACCTTTAATCCCAGCACTCGGGAGGCAGACAGGCTGATCTCTGAGTTTGAGGACAGTCAGGTCTACATAGTGAATTCCAGACCAGCCAGAGCTAGATAGTAGCTCAAAACATAAAATAAGTTTCTGAACTACAGTGAAAAAGCATCCAGTTCCAATGGCTCAGCATGAAAATTCAATTTATTGTGGAGCATGTATCAAATCACCCCCATGGGTCAGGAGGTCAATTAAATTTGGGATTTGGGATTTTTTTTAATATTTTGTTTATTATTTTTATTTTATGTGTATGCATGTATTGCCTGCATGTAGGTAAGTGCACCTGTGTTGTGCAAAAGCCCTCGGAGGACAGAAGAGGCTGTCAGAGGACAGAAGAGACTGTCGGATCCCCTGGAACTAGAGTTACCAACAGTTGTTAGCTGCCATGTGGGTGCTGGGATTTGAACCTGGGTCTTCTGCAAGAACAGTCAGTGTTCTTAACCTCTGAGCCATCTCTCCAGCCCATAGAATTTGGGATGATTTTTTCTTTTCTTTTCTTTTTTTTTTTTGTCTTTTTGAGACAGGTTCTCCTTGTAGCCCTAGCTGTCCTGGAACTCACTATGTAGACCAGGCTGGCCTCGAACTCACAAAGATCTGCCTGCCTCTGCCTCCCAAGTGCTGGGATTAAAGGCATGTGCCACCACGCCCGGCTTTGGGATAATTTTTTTTTAATTTACTTTAATTGAGTGTTTGCACGAATACACATGTGCACATGTGAGTACAGTGTCCTTGGAGGCCAGAAGAGGGCATCAGATCCCCTGGAGCTGGAGTTACAGGTGGTGGTGAGCTGCCCAATGTGGGTGCTGGAAACCAAACTGGGGTCCTCTGAAGCAGAGTCTTTGATGAGTTTGCCCTCCGCGTGGCAAGCCAGACTGGCAAGCAATGGATAGATGCCTTCTTCTCTAGCTGCGATTCACCTGCTTGTTAGATGAACGTGATGCACCTGTTAAGGCATCTTCTAAGTATTTGCGTTTACACCCATAGGTTAAATTATTATTACAACAGTCAATGTTCATTTAGATGTTCCTACTTCTTTTCATTTGTCTTTATAGTAGGAGGAATACCACTGAAGTGGATCAACAGCCCCATCTTAGAAACAAATGATGAGAAGGCCCAAGAGTTCAATATCTCACCACAATAGAAGAAAGACCATCCTACATCTGTGACCCCCTCCAAGGCTCAAGGACTCTTGTTGAAGAGGCTGGCAGAAAGACTGTAAGAACCAGAGGAAGGAGTGGAGTGTTGGATGAGCTTGTCATCCTCAAGTCAAGCTAGAGTGGCAAGTGGTAGATAGATGCCTTCTCTAGCTGAGATTTGTCTGCTGCTTCAATCACCTCAAACTAATTTGACCATCCCTCCTACCCAATCAGTCAGCCTTAGCTGTATGAAGGGGATGGACTAAGGATAGGGACAGCGAAAGCCAGAGAGAGGGGGTGGCCTTCGCCATCTTGGTTCACCACCAGTAGGTCAGGGGGTCCCCACCTTGATATAGGAAGAAAGCCTAAGCGTACCCACACCTTCATAAGTAATTCCCCCCACCACACTATGCTCTGTTAGTAAGCCCAATACATTCAATACTGTAGTTTAGAGGAATATTATCTTGGTTTTGTCGGTTATAAGGATGGTGAGAAGAGGGAGCAGAAGCAGCAAATGCTCTTAATCACTGATCCATCTCTCTCCAGGCTCAAATTCAGGAGTTTCCATTGAAGAAAAAGCTAAGAGTTACCAACCTCTCCTACTAGATTGTCATCTGGATCATACTGTTTCAGATTAATAACAGCAATAGGCAGGTCCAGGGAGGTGACTGCTTTGGCAAGAATTGATGCAAATCCCTAAGAAAGAGAAAAACAACAATAAACTCTCCTATAAGCCAAATAAGTAAAGTAGAGCCATAATTTGCCCCAGGTGGTAAGGGGGGCATGGTGCCCCTGTGGAAGCTTCGCACCTACCACATTCTCAAGCCCAATTGGGTCAGATTCACACTGTACAAAAGGTTTACAGAGGAAATCCGCACCAGGTTTGACATTCCAAGGGCTTTGACCCACTAGAATAAACACACAGGAGTAGAAAAATGGGGAAGACCACACCGAAAGAGAAAGAGAGGTTAGTTGACAGGAGGAAGCCCTCAGGGGCAGGTCTTGTCACACAGAACCCAGGGAAGGCTCTAGGCTGGAATCAGCTACAGCACAAGATGGAAAGGAACCTGAGGCAGGGAACAGTCAACCAGGCTGAGAAGATGGTTCAGAGGGTCAAGTGCCTGCTGTGCAAGCTTGAGGGCCTGAGTTCATTCACGTCTTCCCCATACAAAAGTTAGGCATGGTTATGCAGTTCTGTAACCCCAACACTGCTGAACAGAGGCAGGCAGACTCAGAGCTCACGGTCCAGCAAGTGTATGCCATTGATAAGCTCCAGGTTTAGTGAGAGTCACTATCTCAGAAGATAATGTCGAGGGCCACAGTGGAAGACCCAACACCACTGACTGGCCCTCACACGCATGTATATATATTACACACACATAACTCAAAAAAGCCAACCATTAATCACTATATATAAGACAAGTACATACAGGTCATGGGGGCTGCCCAACAGCTAACCTCTGCCCCCAGGCAACATGCTCACCAGCTCTCCTCAAAACATCTGAAGCAGCAGGGCATGGATGTGTACATCTTTAGCCCCAGCACTCGGGAGGCAGAGGCAGGTGGATCTCTGTGAGATGGCAACCAGCTGGGTCTACAGAGTGAGTTCTAGGCCAACCAGGGTTACATAGTGAGACCCTGTCTCAAAATAAAATAAAAACAAAAACTATGACCAAATGTCTAGGCAAAGCTAAAATTTCCAGTCAGGCTGATACTCAAGAAAAATATCTTCTCCCTAGACAAGACTCCTATATTGAACCTCAGCCACCCATGGCTCAGGGACCATTTCAGAAGTAGGGGTGAAAAGATTGTAAGAGCCAGGGTTAGTTAATAAACACAGGGAAGCAGAGGCTTTCTGACCATTGGAAGTTTGCACATATGACCTTGAGGCAATGGTGGCATCGAGCACAGGACCCATGCCTACTCAATTAAGCAGAGAGGAGAGAAATGGGTGACAGGGCAGCCCTAGACTGAGAACTATTAGAGACTGATTGCTACTGGGAGAGGGAGAGTATGCCTTACATATGATCTCCAGATGGGCTGACTAGACTCTGGTGGATGAATTTATACTGAAGGACATCTGAGTACAAAGGCTTGACTGGATTGGACTTAACATGTATGGCAAAATACATGAAGTCTGGTGGGGTATGGGGAGAAATGGATGGGGGAGGGGGTTCTAAATTGATTAAAAACTGTTGTATGCAATTACAAAACCTCAATTTAAATTTTTTTTAATTTTGTTTATTATTTATTTATTTATTTATTTGTTTATTTATTTATTTATTTTTGTCTTTTTGAAGCAGGGTCTCCCTGTAGCCCCAACTGTTCTGGAACTCACTATGTAGACCAGGCTGGCCTTCAACTCACAGAGATCCACCTGGCTCTGCCTCTCAAGTGCTGGGACTACAGGCGTGCACCACCATGCCCGGCTTATTTTTATGTGTATGCGTGTATTGCCTGCATGTAGGTAAGTACACCGTATTGTGCAATGCGTGAGGAGGTCAGAAGAGGCTGTCGGATCCCCTGGGACTGGAGTTACGGACAGTTGTTAGCTGCATGTGGGTGCTGGGACTCGAACCCGGGTCTTCTGCAAGAACAACCACTGTGTTTAACTGCTGAGCCATCTCTCCAGCACCTCAATTAAAAATTTTAAAGAAAAATAAATAAACAAAAAGAGAAAAACATCCTCCTCTTTTCTACTTGATTCAACACTTGGCCCCTGTGGTGGTCTGAATGAAAAATGCTCCCCACAGGTGCAGGTATTTAAAGACTTGGCACCCAGTTGGCTATGGGACTACATCATCAGGGGGCAGGCTTTGAGGGATTATAGCCTTACTCCCTGTTTTTCTCTCTCTCTCTCTCTCTCTCTCTCTCTCTCTCTCTCTCTCTCCTCTCTCTGTCCTTCCTGTGTTAGTAGTTGAAGATGTGATCTTTCAGCTTCCTGCTCTAGCCACCTGCCTCCATGCCTCCTCACAAATGTGGACTCTCCCTCTAGAACCATCACCCAAATAAACTCTTCCATAAGTGGCTTTTGGTCATGGTGTTTTGTCACAGCAACAGAAACGTAACTAACAGCCTGTTACCTGCTGGAACTGTGAGCTACAACTAATTCATTTACCAGGTACACACCCAGCCAGCCTTGTTTCTAGGCAATTGCACACCATTGAACAAGACTGACAGAGCCCTGGAGAAGCCTCAGATCTAACAGAAAGAGAAGAAACAGAAAAGGAAGAGTAGAGTATGCCAAACAGTGATCAGAGGAGAATAAACTCAGGTAAGTGGAGAAAGTGCAGGCTTGGGGCAAAAGAGAGTCAGTACACGACTGTATATGAAAAAAATATTGGATCCTTGTCACTCAGCACAAAGTCCCTAAAACCTTTGCAGTCACTATCTTGCTAATGACGTGACTCACTAAGGGAGGGCTCTGGAGTGGTTTCAGAATGGCAGCTACAGCTACAAAAAACAACTGCATGATAGGATTTAATTACCAGTGGCCAAATGAGTTACAGTTAATATGTCAAGATAAAGATGAAGAATTAATTATTCAACAAAGGTCATTCGCTGCTACACAGAGAGAGTTCCACAGAGAGTCTGAGGCCAGCCTGGGACACAGAAGACCCTGTCCAAAAAATAACTGCAATAAAAAAAAAAAATGTAAAAGGGGACTGTGCATGATGCCATATGCTTTTAATCCCAGCACTGGGGAGGCAGAGACAGGCAGAGCTCCATGAGATCAAGGACAGCCTGGTCTACAGAATGAGTTCCAGGCTAGCCAGGGTGGTACAGTGGGACTTTGTCTCAAAAAAGAGAAGTTGTTGTTTAGCGTTTTTTGGGTTTTTTTTTTTTTTCTTTTCTTTTAAGTCAGAAAATACATGGTACAAAGCCCTCACCTTGGCAGTACCAGTCTGGGAGCCATAGAAAATCTTCACTCCAGATACGTAGGTCGGCTTCTTTTGGAGGGAGAGGGAGCCGTTTGTCAGCAGATTCTGAGTTGTTTTTGGAATACTTTTCCCCTGAGAGCTCTCGGCCTTGAAGATAGACAATGACAGAGAATCATTAAGACCTGACCTTTCCAGGTGGGAGAGATGCTAGCAGCACTGGCGGCTCTTACAGAAGACCCAGGTTCTGTTCCCAACACCCACAGGGTGCCTAACAACGGCATGTAACTCTGTTTTCAGGGGATCTAACTCTCTCTCTCCTGGCCTTCATGGGCCTTTACATGCACATGGTACACATATATACATGCAGGCAAAACACTTATGCACATAAAATAAAAATCAATCAAAAAAATTTTTTTTAAAGATCTAACCTTCTCCTTACTTTGGGAGGTATGAAAATAAACAGACCATGACCCAGTTTGTGATGCTCTTAATCTTTCTGGTTGTACCCCTCAACTCTTAACCTAAGTCTCACTGGTGTTTAAAAGGCAGGACTCACCTTTTTCAGAACTGGAAGATCCCCACTCCCTCCAGATAAAGCTATCATCTTCCCCTGGCATTTAAGAGAGAAGAGTTCCAGGATAGAAGGCAGATGGACAGAGACCCAGACACACACACGCACACGCACACACACACACACACGCACACACACACACTGTGGCAGGAACTCTTTCCCTGAGAAGATATAAGCAACATCTACCTGCTCCTTATAGGGCTCCAACAACAAACCAAAATATAATTCTACCAAATTCCAAGCTGAAGAACCAGTGAGTTTATTGGGGCTTAGAGCCAGAGCATGGCAGAGGGGTTACTGACAGGCACACACAGGACTCCAAAGCAGCTGCTCCACCTTAAAAGTCTCACCCCAGAATGGATGACAACTTCCCAATAGCTGCAAAAATGGAGTCAGTTAATGTAGTGGTTTAAATGAGAAATGTCCCCTATACGCTGAGGGATCTGAACACTTGATCCCCAAGTTGGACTCTGTTTGGAGAGGTTCAAGAGGTACAGCCTTGCTGGAGGAGGTATGTCACTGGAGGCTGGCTTTGAGATTTATAACCTCACCCCACTTTCAGTTCACTCTCTGTTTCATGTTTGCAGTTGAAGATATGAGCTCTCAACTTCTTATTCCAGCCACCTGCTGCCATGCCTTCCCCACCATATGGACTCATTTGCTGGAACCACCAACCAAAATAAACTCTTTTTTTCTATGCATTACTTTTGGTTATGGGGTTTTATTATAGCAACAGAAAACTAAATAATACAGTAATCTTCTACAATCTGTATAATCTAGTCCCTCCCAAGACCATGAGGCCCTGTGCAATTAGGGCAGTACAGAATTACATACAAATGGCCAAGAGACATAGAGCATTTCAGGTAAGGGTCACTGGACAGGGAACATCAACAGTCAACAAGTCTGATCTCAGGAATCACTTGTAAGCAGTCACAGCTGCTCTGATGAAGACAACGGCTGTGATGCTCAGAGGATGGTAACACTAACACACACACACACACACACACACACACACACACACACAAAGAATGTCAAGTACTTCTGCTTTTGGTTTCTTTTAAGATAGGAACTCCCTGAAAAAGGTTAAGTCCTGTTTTTTAAGCACCAGTGAGACTGAGATTAAGAGTTGAGGGGTACAACCAGAAAGATTAAGAGCATCACAAACTGGGTCATGGTCTGCTAATTTTCATACCTCCCAAAGTAAGGTTGGATCTTTTTTTTAAATTTTTATTTCATGTGTATGTGTGTCTTGTGTATGTTAGCACACCTGTGTCATGAAATGCCCACATAGGACAGAAGAGGCTGTCAGATCCCCTGGAGTGGAAGTTACTGACAGTTGTTATCTCTGATGTGGGTGCTGGGATTCGAACCTGGGTCTTCTGCAAGAACAGTCAGTGTTCTTAACCACTGAACCATCTCTCCGGCCCCAGGAAAGATGGGATCTTTTAAAAAAAATTTTTTTAATATTTTACTTTTATTTTATGTGTATGAGTATATTGCCTGCATGCGTGTGACCACGCCTGTTTCATGCAACACTGCGGCAGTCAAAAGAGGGCTTCAGAGTCCCCTGGAACTGGAGTTAAGTGCTGGGATTCGAACCTGAGTCTTCTGCAAGAACAACCACTGTTCTTAACTGCTGAGCCATTTCTCCAGCCCCTAAAAAATTTTTTAAATTTATTTTTATGTTCTGTGTATGAGTGTCTTGACTGCATGTATGTATGTATAGCGTGTGAGTGTAAATCCCCATGAAGGCCAGAAGGAGTTAGCTCCCTCGGAAATGGAGTTACAGATGGTTTTACCTCCCAGACTGGCTTCAAACTAGTAATCCTCCTGCCTCATCCTGCAAGTGCTGGGGTTACAGGTGTGTCCCAAGGGGTATTTGTTCCCCTAAGGGGTGGGGCCTACTGTGGAGAATTGGCTGTGGAGAGTTAGCCGAGGGAGGAGCATTGGCGCAATCTTGGCGGCAGCAGGGCTGGAAAAAATGGCTCCAGTGTCTTACCTGCATGGACTCAAAAGGAGGCATTTACCAACCTGGGGCGAGACTGTGGGCCCACGAGGCTTTCAAACCAGAAGAACGGTTTACAAAAGGCATTCAAAGGATTAAAAACTGTCCCGGGGTGGTTAAGAATCCCTAAAGATTAAATAAGATGCATTTCTCTCCTTATAAAGGCTATACTAGGAAATAAGATGCATTTCTCTCCTTATAAAGGCTATACTAGGGGTGGAGGCAGTTTTTCCACCAAGGCCTCCCCCAGCAGCCAGGTATGGTCAATGGAGAGATGACAGATATGGCTACAGTCAGGAGGCAGACCCAGAGCCTGCCTGACTCAGGGAACCAAAAGGTACAGCGAGAACAAGAGAAACTCCCTGCCTCCTTAGCCCAGTGCAGGGTCAGGCAACTGGAGCCAACACCTGTAAGTGTATCAAGGATACAAGAATACAAAGAGACTCGATGCAAGATCCCCAGAATGTGGAATGACTCCCCAGGGATAACTAAAGACAGTAAAGAACTAACCAAATTAATGCCTCATACCCATGCTATGGTACCTAACAAAGAGCTATGGAGAAAACAGTTAATATGAATGGATAAACATCCTGTGTTAGACCTTGTCTTGATTGACTTAATATGTGATGTTAACCTTCCTTCGGGTGTTTTACAGATGTGAAACCCATTTGAAAAATACCTGAAGAAACAAAGGCCAGCTATAGCTGTAAGATTCTTGGGAGTTTTATGGTTGGGTAAGATAAAAACAGAGGCTCCCAAACTATATACAACTGTTAAGAAAATCTACAGTACCAGGAGTGGGTTGCATCCCTATGAGCTCTTGGTCTGAGAGAGATCCTAGAGGTCCTCAAATTCACAAAGGCTATTGCCACTAATGTCAGTTATACACTAGAAAGGTCAGTAAGGCCATGTTGCTGAAGACACTGCATGATGTGTGCGTGGGAGGAAAAGAAAAGCTGGAGAGACTAAGCCAAAAACTCCATGTCACTGGATGACATTCATATTGCCAGAATGCGCTATGCAGATGGTTAGGAAAGAAAGTTTCCCCTAAAATTCTACTCAACAATGGACCCCACATGCTGCACACTATGGATATGCCAAGCAATGCCTGCAAGTGCAATAATGGTTCGATCAACATACATACAACTGACAAACTTCTAATTGGATAAGGCCCGCTCCTAGGAATGGAACACATATCTTGTGCTGTAGAACAGGCCAACCCCCTGTGTCGAAAGGCTATAGGCCCTAGAGGGGAAGCCATTACAAGTATACTGTTTAATGAATATAGTACACCTACTGGGATATCCTCTAGGCACTTGTATTTACGTTCATGTTTGTTTAGATGTGTCTACTTCCTTCCGTTTGTCTTCATAGTAGAAGAAACACCACTGAGATAGATCAATGGCCACAGCTTAAAGACAAATAATGGGAAGGCCTAAGAAGTCATTATCTCACCATGATACAAGAGAGATCGCCCTACATCTGTCACCCCCTCCAAGGCTCAGGGACCTTAGCAGAAGATTGGCAGAAAGATTGTAAGAGCAGGAGGAAGGGGTGGAATGTGTCCTGAGGAGAAGTTGTTCTTCCAAGGGGCGGGGCCTGCTGCAGAGAATTGGCTGTGGAGAGATAGCTACTGAATGAGGAGCTTTGGTGAGATCTGGGTGGAGGCAGGGTGGAAAAAATGGCCTCGGTGCATTGCCCCTGGGGCAAGACTGCGGGCCCACTAGGCGTGGGCAAAACATAATGAAGACTGTGGGCAGGGTGCAGAAGCGATCTGGAATGCTGGGCCCCTGAGCCACAGAGTGGAACAGGGCACCGGGTGTTCACCTTTGTAAGGTACTCTATTTCCCCTACCCAGAATATAAACTATGAAAAATTCAAATAAAGATGTGTTATATGGTTTGTCTAATAGCGCCAGAAGCAAGGGACCTAAGAGAACTCGGGAGACAACAGGCCTGCTCCACCATACCTGACTTCAAATCCTATATTAAAAAAAAAACCAAAAAACTGCATAGCACTTACTTATAACCAGCAGACATCCTCCCAGAATCTTTACATCATCTGTAGATTACTCACAGCTGATACACTGTGTTCTATAAATAGTTGTTGCACATATTTTGTTCAAGAGATGCTATGTATCTGTTAAAAATTTCCCACTATGAGGGAGCAGGAAGGCTGCACAGGGTCAAGAAAATCACAAGAAACTTACAAGAGAAGAGCTGCCATTTTCCAAATTTAAGCAGTAAATAATTGCTGGAGAAAGACTTCTGTGGAGGTGCCTGTAAGGTGCCCAGCGGACTCCAGTGAAGCTGAGTCATCACCTATGCTGGGGTTGGACTTTGGGTCATAAGGTTTCTCAAGAACCCCCCCAATAAACTAACCGGCTCCTCAGTCTGGACTTGAATAGAATTGTTTCTTTACCTCCACTCTTTCTCCTGGGGTGAATAGAAATAGTCACATAACAGATAAGGAGAAAACTCTGTGCATATTCAGTAGAGAAGTTTGGCTCTGTGTGTGTGTGCACGCATGTGAATACAGGTGCACTTATGCCACAGCATAGCATGCCTGTGGAAATAAGAGGATGGTTTTCAGGAATCAGTTCTCTCCTTTCACCTTCTTGACAAAGCCTAATCCAGACTAGCTGGTCATAAGCTTCCAAACAATTCTGTTTCTGTCTCATAGGAATGTTTAGATTACAGATGCACACCACCACATTGAGCTTTTTTTTAAGATTCTTTCACTTTTAAGTATGTGTATGTGTGTGTGTCTAAAATCTTGAGAGAAAAATTAAGAGTTTTTTTAAAAAATTTTATTCTTATGTCTATGAGTGTATTTCCTGCATGTAGGTAAGTGAGCCTGTGTCATGCAATGCCCACAGAGATCAGAAGAGGGTGCTGGATTCCCTTGGAACAGGAGTTAGGGACAGTTGTTAGTCACCGTGAGGGTGCCCACTGCAAGAGCAGTCATTGCTCTTAACTGCTGAGCCATCTTGCCAATGCCTAAGGAATTTTTTAAAATATTTTATTATTTTTATTTTATGTGTACTAGTGTATTGCCTGCATGTATGTGAGTGCACCCGTGTCATGCAATGCCACAGAGGTCAGAAGAGGGCTTTGGATTCCCCTGGAACTGGAGTTAAGGACAGTTCATAGCTGCTATGTGGGTGCTGGGAATTGAACCCGGGTCCTCTGCAAGAGCAGTCAGTGCTCTTAACTGCTGTTTAAAGTCTAGACGCCAAACAAATGTGTGATTTAATGTTCCTGTTGGCAGTGGGCATGACGATACATGCTGATAACCCCAGCACAAAGAAGGCTGAGGCAAGAGGATTAACCCAGAGCTCAGGACTAATCGGGGATACACGCGGCATCACTACACTTACATGATAATTAATTACCTAAACAAATAGCTCAACTCTTGAATTTAGTTTCTAAGAGTGAGCCCAAACTCAGAGGATCCACACTCCCTTAGATATCTCTTGGAATTGTTTGTCTCCTACACTGTGCTGATGGAACTATTTGCTGGGAACTCTCTTTCTGGAACTGTGTCCTGAGTCTGGCCCACCCATAATTTTATTCAGTTGAGGAGGTACAAACTTGGCTCCACCCTAATCATTTTGGGGGTTGGTTTTTGTTTTGTTTTTTTTTTTTGGTCTTTTTGTTAATCGTTTTTTTGCCAGGGTCTCCCTAGTCACAGCCCACCTGGAAGTCATGATGTGAAACGAGGAGGAGGGGCACAATCTCACAGAGATCCACCTGTCTCTGATTCTCAAGGGCTGCGATGAACAGGCCATCTTTTCATCCCTAGTTCCAGAATATCTCATTTACCCAATGTCACTCCTCCTTCCCAATGTTCACTATGTGCAAAGGACATGGGGCACCACCTTTCAGCGCTCTGATGTGTTAATTCTCAAGCATATCCACATTCTCTTATTATCTTTTTGTGTGGACTACCAAATGAAGGATGCCTAAGAAAGGAGATCAGTATGAAGGTCACAGGACACAACAGCACATGGTTTTGCTGGGGTTAAATAAAAGTCACTAGTTCAGATTATGCCCATTTATAAAAGTCATTCCTACAGACAATATAGTGAATATTAAGCCACGGAGGGATACATAGCAATATCTTCTCTCAGGAGCTGACAAGATGACTTAATGTGTAAAGAAGCTTGAGGCCAAGCCTAATAGCTTGAGTTCAATCTTCAGAACCCAAAGGGCAGAAGAAGAGAATCAACTTCCACAAGTTGTCCTCTGATTTATACCAGTGCACTGTAGCATATGCCATCTGCCCCCCTCATATAACACAAAGTTTCTTTAGCTTCTCTGTATTTTTCTGAAAGCTTTGAAAAACCTATGCTCTAAATTCTTTGTAAAACATGAAAACCTATTAAAAAAGAAAAATGGGCTGGAGCAATCACTATATCAGACAGAACTCAGAATCTGAGTTCAATCCCCAGCACCCATGTAAAAAGCCAGGCATGGTGACATACACCTGTAACACCAGCACTGGGGAGGTGGATACAGGAGGATCCCTGGGGCTCACTGGCCAGCCAGCAAACTCCACATTCAGAAAGAGACACCGCCTCAAAAATTAAACTAGAGGGGCCGCAGAGATGGCTTAGCAGTTAATAGCGCTTGCTGTCCCAAGGCCCCAGGGCAGATCTGGCTTTGGTAGGCTAAGGCTGAGATCCTAGCAGATAGCCTAAGAGGGTGGGGTTCTGACCTCCATCAGTGTAATGGCTCTGATCTCAGCAGACCGCCAGAGTGCTGAGTTCTGACCTTCTGCTGGCAGAGGACCTGAGAATGCAGGGGACTGCCTGAAAGCCCCCAGATCCTGCCTCCACCTGGTGGTCCTTTTATTAAGATGATGCTATCTATACAGCAGTCCCTTCTGCATGAAATAACTACCATCATCACGACTTCGGCTGAGCCTGATCGCTAAACATAGTCACAATTGGGCTTGTTGACAGTTGTGCTCATTCATTAAAGGAGTGCTAAGCAGGGTAACTGGACACTCTTTTGAGTATCCAGACACTCTTCTCATCCAACTGTATATAATTTGGCCCTAATCACACATGGTCTCCTGGATCTGGGGAGGGCTAGGAAGAGAAGGCATGACCCATGCTGGGTAAAGGCTTTCCAGTATGCATACCCTCACGTGTTATACATACACCTCAGCAACCCCTGAGTTATCTCAGAAAGTAAGCTCAATAAATTCATTAGTTCCCCAGTAAAACTTTAATCAAACATTGGCTTGACACTAGAACCTTAAAAGGGAATAAGCATTGCTCAGGAAAAGTCTCACAACAGATGGAAAATGTATTTGTTAATGCTATTATGTCTCATAATTATTTTTTTTAAAAAGATAATGAGAATGTAAAAGATGTTAAAAGGTATGGGAAGACATATTTTCCAAAATAGAAAAAATGAGAAAGCCTAAGCAAGTGATGAATGTCTTGTTATATATAAAGGATGAGACACAAATAGTATACATATAATCTTAAAATTTCTATGTTCTGCAAGAAAAGGCAGTGTTCTTAACTGTTGAGCCATATCTCCAGCCCCAGTATTTTTTTTTTTTAACCCAAGGCTTATCTTCATAGTACATGATAATTATAAGTACCAGACTGGTGGAACTAACTTTGTTGGATGTTTAACAGCCATAGTTTGAGGCCTATACTAATGTGGTCAGAGGGACTTAAAGGACAGTTTTCGCTCCTTGCCCTCCAAGGTTGACTAAGTTCCAGGGGACTATGGAACATCTCTCAAAATGTCCTGTAACTGTGCTGAGTCACCTGTCCTCTTGTTCACAGAGGACATAGAGACCCCACGAGATAGTTGAACCACTGTCCAGTCTACAAAGAGGAGGGTCAACTTGGAGGAAACATCTCATCCATGCTTCCAAATGAAGCAAGACATGGTCGAGTAGGACCTTTGACTCATCTTCACATAGATGGAACTGGTAAAATAAAGGAACCAAGAGCTCCTCCCAAGGCCATGTGACCCCTGAAGAAGAGATAGACCCTCTGATGACCTTAAGAGTAAAAATTAATTGATATATTTGGGCCAACTGTATGGTCTTAAACACCCAAAAGGAAAGTATAACCAAACACTAAAGTCATCAGTATCATCAGTATATTTCTTTAAAACTTCAAGGGATTACACTTCTCAGACATTAGGCTTAATGTCTTATATAAATGTTTTAAGTCCATATAAAAAGTTATTTAGACAATCATTTCTCCATTGATGATTTTGTTCCTAACCAGAAAGTGCTGCTCAGATGTAAGACTTCAAATCCTGGTCTCCAATACTGTAGTGCCCACCTGTAGCTAAGGGAAACAACAGCTATTGTTCTAAAATGATGGATAAATTT